GCTCAAGGAATATGCTCTCTGAGATCTTAGGCTTTGTTAGGGTTCATGACAGGCCTCCCCAGGTCTCAGGTCTGGAGAGTGAGCCCTCTTAGGAGAACCACTATCTGAAGGGGTTCAGGGGAATGGCTGGTAAGGTCTTTGGTTTTGCCTGGCTTTACAAGGCCCTGTTGCCAAGGAGGCGGAAGGAGTCGGGCCTCTGGGAAGAGGCCTACACCACCCAGGAGAGTGGCCTGATAAAGTGCTAACAACTCAAGGTAGGAGAAGGAAGAACTGTGGTTCCCAAGGAGGTGACCACCCAGACTAAGCGGCTTCCTTAGGCATCACCTGGCCTGGTGTGAAGGAGTCCTGGGTGGCACAAATGGTTAAGCACTTGACTACTAACCAAAAGGTTGGTAGTTTGAACCCACCCAGAGGTGCTTCAGAAGACAGACCTGGCTATCTACTTCTGAAAGGTCACAGACTTGAAAACCTCATGGAGCAGTTCTACTCTGCATGCATGGGGTTGCCATGAGTCAGAATCAACTCGATGGCAATTGGTTTTTTGTTGTTGTTTTTTTGCCTCGTGTGAGTGAGTATTCCTCACTTGACTTCCAAGGTCATGGAGAGGTCTGGCCTCTGAGAATTGACTGAAAGGCCCTGAGGAGTGTTCTAAAGGGGAGTCAGGCTTCCTCAGGCCATGCCAGGCCCCATTGCTCGGGAGTAGCCACCAGACCCTTAGAAGGGGCTAGACTCTTGAGTTGGGCCTTCAGGAGAAAGAAGTTGAATTCCAGAGCTCATTTGGTGTGGGGAGTTACTGGGAGAAGGTTACAACTTTTTGGAGACCCAAACTTATCCAACACTGATGCAAGGGTGGGTTTTTCTCCAGCAACCAGGTCACAGAGAGGGGGGACGTTTGAACACAGGAAGAGAGGTGGGTGACTGCAGGTGCAGTGGGAGAAACCAGGCCTGGGTAGGGTTCCCACCTTAGAAGAGTCCCCACTGTTTATAAGGGATGTCTCCCCTGATTCACCTGTGTCTCCACATCCCCCAGGCGGACCTGAACTGGGGCCCGGGTGGCGAGGAGGTGGGGGCCGGCGGCAGCAGTGGCGGCTTCTACGGAGTGAGCAGCCAGTATGAGAGCCTAGAGCACATGACCCTCACTTGTTCCTCCAAGGTCTGCTCCTTTGGCAAGCAGGTGGTGGAGAAGGTAGAGGTGAGGCTGGGTGCAGGGGAGAAGTTGCCGAGCAGGTGAGCACCCAGCCACCTGTCACTTTGAGGGGTGTCGACTACATGGGCCAGGGGGCCATGAAGGGTCTGGAGTTTGGGGGGGTCTGCATGGTAGCAAGGATCTCAGCCTCTTCAAGGGTTTAGTGCATGGGTTTGGAACTAATATACAGTTCAAGAGCCAGATGTAGGGGTCATTTTGAGGGTTCAAAGGTAACGTGGACATTGCTTTAGGTACAGAGATTTAGGGTCACTAAGAGAGTCAGTGAAAATGAGAGACCTCAGTGAGATGCATTGACACAATAGCCACAATGATGGACTAAAATATACCAGTGATCATGAAGATGGTATAGGACTGGGCAATATTTCATTGGGATACACATAAGATCACCGTGAGTCGAGGTGACTTGACGGCAACTGACAAGAAGATTCAAAATGGATATGAAGGGGTTCGTAGGCATGGAGTTTCAGAGGTCACGCTTGGGGGCTGCTGAGGACTTGGGGGTTCTTGAGTTCAGAGGCCATATAAAGTTTGGAGATGTCATGGAGGGGTCTTTGAGGTTCATAGGGGCTCTGGAGGGCCTGGAGAGTCTCTTGAGGGATTGGAGGTCATTGCTGTGGAAGTTAGAGATCAGATGAAGAGGTTATTGAGGGTTCTGAGCATGGCTTTGAGGGGCTGGAAGGGTTCCAGGTTTATAGGTTTGGTGATCATGAGTTGGATACCCCAGGGTTCTGGGGTCACGTCTCTGGTTGCTATGGGTGGGATGATGGAAGGGAGATGGAAGCGGGATGTGGGTGTGGCATCCGAGAGGAATGGAGTGGAGCTCGGTTCCCTGGGTGACTGTGTCTCAGCCACTGTCCTCCCCCTCTCTGCCCCCTGCTGGTGTAGACGGAGCGTGCGCAGCTGGAGGACGGGCGGTTTGTGTACCGCCTCCTGCGCTCGCCCATGTGCGAGTACCTGGTGAACTTCTTGCACAAGCTGCGGCAGCTGCCTGAGCGATACATGATGAACAGCGTCCTGGAGAACTTCACCATCCTCCAGGTGAGATGCTGGGCTAGGCCGGGGCAGACCGAGGGGGGCCTGACGTGGAGGGCAGTGCCCACAGCAGACTGTCGCTCTCAGGGACCCCTTCACCCAGAAACTAATGTGGTTGAGACCCCAGAGTGGATCCTTAGCCTAGGGGACCCCTTCATCTGGAACTGACATAGTGGAGACTCCACAGCAGACCCTCAGCCCTGGGGACCCCTTCATCTGGAACTGACATGATGAAGAACCCACAGTGGACCCTCAGCTTAAGGGACCTCTTCACCTGGGGAACTGACATGATGAAGACCCCAGGGCGGACCCTCAGGCTAGAGGACCCTTTACCCAGGGAATTGACACAGTGGGGACTCCAGAGTGGATTCATAGCCTTGGGGACCCCTTCAGGACACCCTACAGCAGATCCTCAGGGGACTCCCTTCACAGGGAACCTACCTGATGGGTATCCCCTTGGTCCAGGGAACATGACATTGTAGAAGCCCCTTGAACTTTGGAGAATGTGTTGAGGTGGGGATCCCTTTACTGGGGAACCTGAGGTGATGAGTACCCCCTTTACCTGGGACATGGTGGGGACCCTATTTATCTGGGGAATGGGACGTGGTGGGGACTCCTTGGACCATGAAACAAGATACGGTAGGGACCACTATCTGCTCTGAGGCCCCTATGGCAGAGTCTAACCTCCATTGCTGAGGGAATGTGATATGGTGGGCATCCCCTTTATCTGGGGACCATGACATGGTAGGGACCGATCCCTTTCCTGGGAGGTTCTAAAGAGGCCACGTGGATCTCCTAAGATACACTGGGAGGCACAGCAGCCCCTCCCTTCCAAGCATAAGCCCCTTCTTCTGGCTTCCCTGGCAGGTGGTGACAAACAGGGACACCCAGGAGCTGCTGCTGTGCACTGCCTATGTCTTCGAGGTCTCCACAAGTGAGCGTGGGGCCCAACACCACATTTACCGCCTGGTCAGGGACTGAAGGGGGACCCCAAAACTGGCTCACCCCCAAAACACCCCCCTCCCAGACAGTACCCTCCAGCTCTCCCATGCTCCTCATTTGGGGAGGCGGCTGTGATGAAAGGGGGCTGGCCTCAGAGGCCTAAGTGCCTGGGGCTGCAGTTGAAGTTAGAGGGGACCCCCAAAACTGGGAGCTTAATTTATGCACCCTGGTCTTGATGGAGTGGGCTGGGATTGAGAGCAAACGATAGACCCTAATATTTGAGATCTCACGGGGGGTGTCTGAAAGGACAGATCACTCCAGAGCATCAGGAATTGGGGACAGGAGTGAGACAACCCCCAGCCTCTTGACAGGGACCCCCGCTTTGTTTTGGAGAGTTCCGGCTACTGTGTCACCCGGAGTGGCTATGAGTCGAAATTAACTCAATGGCACCTAACAACAACCACAACCGTTGCACATTGGCTTGTCACCCCCTGCCCATTTTCTAGCCCCCCAACCATCTTCTACCTCCCCCATCACATCCCGGCCACCGCCACCGTGTGATGTGTGATAGTCCAAATCGAAGGTTAACCCTTTCTGTGCAGGAGCACGGCCAGGTGGGCCCTGAAAATACTTTTTTTTTTTTTTAATATAACGAGATATTTATAAATGGGTGTTAGGGTCTTGACTTTATCTCAGCTGGGCAAGGGGTTGGGTGAGGCTGTCTAATCTCATCCCCCCTTCTTCTAAGTGAGCCGCGGGCTAGGCTGTGTTGCCCGCCCCCTCCCCCCAAAAGTGTGTTTGTTGTGTTTTGATAGAATATAAAGCTATTTTACCAAAACGCAGGGAATTTATTTGAGGTTTGGGCGGAAAACAATCTTGCGGGGAGGTGGTAGGCTACCAGATGTGACAAGGAACGCAATTTATCTTTGGGGACAGAAAGCTGGTGCTCAGAAGCCCCAGGTCCCTTGGGAGCTAGGGCAGGCAGACACCTGGGTTCCCAGGGGAGTGAGGAGGCGGTGTGCTCAGTGCCTGGGAGGGTATACTGGGGAATAAACAAATATTTACAGCTCATAGGGGAGTGCCCAGGACATCTGAAAGGGTCGGGGGTGGGGCGGGGCGGGGAGGGGCTTTGGGATGGGGCTGGGCTTTGGGAAGGGGCGGAGCCTATCGGTATTGACTGATCTGGTCGTAGACGTGGTCCAAGTTCCTGCACAGGAATATCGAGAGCGTCATGAAGCCGAGCTACAGAGAAAGGAGACGCGGTCAGAGAGCTCGAGGAGGCACCGAGGGAGACTAGTCAGGGAGTTGAGGCCTGGGGAAGAGGCAGGGTTAGAAAAGAAGGCACCGGGGAATTGGGATGGGCGAAATCCTTGCAAGAAGATGGGAGAGAGGGCGGGGGGGAGATTAGAAGAACAGAGAGAGGGACGTGTCAGAAAGGGCAGTTGTTTAGAGTCAATTCTGACTCCACGTGTGCAGAGTAGAACTGCTCCATAGGGTTTTCAAGACTGTGACCTTTCAGAAGCAGATCGCCAAGCCTGCCTTCTGAGGTGCCTCTGGGTGGGTTTGAACTGCCAACCTTTTGGTTAATGGAGCGCTTAACTGTCTCACCCAGGGAAGCCTGAAAGGGACAGCGTTTGGGGAGATTAAGCCAAAGGAGAATGTGGTGGGGTTAAGTGTATCAAAGGCCTGGGGCGGGCCTGGAAAGGATGGGAGCAGAAGGTGGAACAGGTGTGGTGAGGTAACCTGGGAGTTCAGGGACTGCGCTATGTAGCCTGGGAAGGAGTGAGGTCTGGAGCAAGTGCAGAGCCGCAATGGTGCAAAGCGCCATCCTTTATTCCAGAGGCTCATCTGCCTCCCCCTCGGCCTCCACCTCCGCGCCTACGCTCCCGGTCTCGCGCTGCTCCTCGTCTTGATCCCACAGCGGCCAGGGCCCCAGGGCCATGGGTAACTTGCCCTGCGGGGCTTTGTCTCCCCAGTTGGGGCAGGCACCCCCCATGCCCCAGCCACCCCATAGACTGCTGTTGCGTCCGCTGCTGCTTAGCATGCCACCGCGCCCGCCGCCGCCGTCAGCGCTCAGGCCCGGTGCGGGGCTCGAACCGCTGGTTGCCGGCACCTGCGCCTGAGGTTCCCGATAGAGCGCGCTGCGCGGTAGCAGCAGGCTTAGCCCCACCACACTAACCTGCGGTGAAACGGGGGTGGGGAATATAGCGGCCAATAATAGGCTGATACGCCAAGTGGGGCCAATGAGATACGCGTGGAAGGGCGGGAACGCCTGCTTTCTGCGTTCGGCCAATCAGAGCTCACAGAGGCTAGATTTTTTTTTCCCCCCTCCCCCCACCTTTCCCATCCCAGCTAGGTCGGCGGAGGAGGCAGGACATTCCGAAACCCCTTTACGCATGCGCCATTCCCAGTCAGTGGGAGGACATTTACGCGCAATCGGGGCTAGGCCATTTAGGGATTATGGGGCCAGTAGTGAATGGGGGCGGAGCCAGATTACCTCTAGTAGACCGACGCCCAGACAAATGCCCACTATGGAGATGAGGTTGTTCCGCAGCCACTTCTGGAGGCTCCGCTTGCAGCCCTGTGGGTGTAGAGAAAGGTTAACGATAGGGCTCGTAGTAGGATTCGCCCTCTAGTCCTCATCCTCTATTTCAGGGCCGGACCTTGCCGCGCTGCGTCCCTAGTTACCAGGTCTTTCTAGTCGGAGTTTCTGGGTGGTGCAAACGGTGGGGTGCTAACTGAAAGGTTGAAGATTCGAGTCCACCCAGAGGCACCTTGGAAGAAAGCGTTGGCCATCTACTTCCGAAAAATCAGCCATTGAAAACCCTATGGAGCACAGTTCTACTCTGGCACACACTCCGCGGCAACTGGTTCTAGTTTCTTTAGTTCTGTGCCTCGGGCTCGCCTCTCCCAAGCTTTGCACCTCCCCAGATAGCAGCCCTGTTGGTGCAGTGGTTAAGTGCTCGGCTGCTAACCGAAAGGTCAGTGGTTCAAATCCTCTAGCTGCTCCATGGAAGAAAGATGTTTCCCCACTCCAACCTTTGGAGCCCTGGTGGCACAGTGGTTAAGAGCTTGGCTGCTAACCAAAGGGTCGGCAGTTTGAATCCACCAGCTGCTCCTTGGAAACCTTATTCTGCTCTGCCCTATAGGGTCACTATCAGTCAGAATCGAGTGGACCGCAACGTGTTTTAGACGTCAGCATCCAGGTCCTGCCCTTTCAGCCCCTGTCATTTTCTTTAGCAGGCCGACCCTGCCCCTCCCTTTCATGTAGCCCCACCTTTCTTGTAGGCCACTCTCATCTCCCATGGCCCCGCCTTCTCAAGACTCCGCCCCTCTCCGGACTCCGCCCCTCTCCGGCAGCCGGGTCCCTCCTGCAGACCCTGCCCCAGTGGAGGGGCTCCACACCCCTCCCTACCTCGCCGTAGATGTGGCTGTTCGCAGGAATCACGCAGAAGTCGGTATTGCGTCTGGGTCGCACCAGCGGTCCGAGCCGGCTGAGCTGGGGGAAGAAGATCTTATCGAAGGTTGCGGAGTCGTTGGTCGACGACGAGTTGTAGCAGGAGCAGGGCACGCGGGACTCCTCCGACTCGTTGCCTTTCAGGCTGAGGACCTGGAGCCAGTCCTGCGGAGAATTCCAGCCGCAGCAGCGCAGCTGGGAAAGGGACGCTAGTCAGAGCGGCCGGGTCTGATAGGATGCAAGGGGACTGGGTGATGGGTGTAAGTAAGGTCATGTCGGTGGCGAGGGGGCTAAGTGGTGGGTGTGGGGTTACGCGGGGAGCAGTGAGCTGGAGTGAGGACACCATGGGACCAGGGGACATTAAGGGAACATGAGGTTGAGAGAGACACGAGTCACATGGGGACCTGGGGCTGGAAGAGGCGTCGCAGAATCACGCTGTGGACCGGAAGTTGAATGGATGATGCAGTCCGGCCTCAGGTAGAGGACAGGTGGATGGTAGGGCAGGGCCACTTGAGTGCAGTCTCGTCGGGGGCGGGGGAGTGAGGGGTCACGTTAGGGTCCTGGGGCTGGGGGTGGGTGGGTGGTGGTGGAAGCGAGGTGGAGTTTTCCTCAGTGTAGGGAACCGAGTCTGATCGAGGCAGAGAAGGGGCCAGCCATGGTCCGGGAGCCTGAGGGGCTCGTTATGTTATCATCTAGGCTTGAGGCCACGTGGGGTGAGGCGGGGGCTGGGGAGTCACGTTAGGGTCCTGGGGGTGGGGGAAGGTGGAAGAGAGGCTGAGTCTCCTCGGTGTAGGGAGCGGAGTCTGGTGGAAGCGGGAGGCGGGGTCAGTCAGGGACTGGGAGCTAGAGGAACAGTCCACCTCGAGGGTTGGGCGGGGGCTCACGCACCTGGAACTGCACGTAGTCCCAGCTCTCCTCGGCCGCCGTCTCCTCCGGGTTGGCGCGGTAGTTCTGGATCGTCTCCAGCACCATTTCTTGCACCTTCCGCTCCAGCTGAGAGGCCAGGAGTGAGGCAGGACCTTATCCCACCCCACCCCACCCCACCCCACTCCCGCCTCCCCGTCCACACCTGCCCCGCCTGCTTTAGCTCCTCCCGGCCTTCTCAGCCCCTGTGCATCTTGGTGTCTGCCTCGGTTTCCCACTGAATGGCTAGCTATGTCTCACTATTCCTAACAATCTTTCTGCCCGTTTCCCTCTGTTTCTATCATTATCTCTGTTGTTAGTTGCCTTCCAGTGGATTCTGACTCATGGCGACCGCACGTGTGCAGAGTAGAGCTGCTCCATAGGATTTCCAAGGCTGTGACCTTTTGGGAGCAGATGGCCACATCTTTTCTTCCGAGGAACCACTGGATGGGCTGGAACCACCAACCTTTGGGTTAGCAGCCTATCACAAACTGCTTGCTCCACTGGGCTCCTTTCACTATCTCTAGGGGTCATTTTATTAGGTCTCTAGCTTCCTCAGGGAAACCCTGGTGGTATAGTGGTTAAGTGCTACAGCTGCTAACCAAAAGGTTGGCAGTTCAAATCCACCAGCGCTCCTTGGAAACTCTATGGGGCAGTTCTACTCTGTCCTATACAGTCGCTGTGAATTGGAATCGACTCCACGGCAACGGGTTTTTTTAAACTTCCTCAGGACTTTCTGTTTCTCCAGGTGTTTTTTCTCTTATTTTTCTGTTTATTTTCCCTTGGATTTCAATGTCTCTCTCTTCCTATGTCTCTCTCCCGGGGTCCCTGTTGGTTTGTCTTTCTTTGACTCTCTATTTGTTTCCGTCTCTCTCTCTCACTGTCAGTCTTTGTATCTGTCTCTGTATCTTTCTGTCTCTCTGTTCCTCTCTGCCTTCCTGTCTGTCTGTTATTTCTCTTTGTCTCTGTCAGTTCCTGTCTGTCTCGGTCTCTCTTTGCCCTCTGCTGCACCACCACCAGCTTCCCAGCCCGGCTTACCAGGGTCCTTTGCGTGGAGATGAGGATTCCCAGGGTGATCTGGGTGGCAAACAGGAGCAGCAGCATCCCAAAATACTGAGGGGCAGAGTGGAGAGGTCAGGTTGTGGGGACTGCTGGAGTCCCTCTTTGGGGCCACTTAGGGGCATGGTCCTGGGGATGGAGAGATCTATGGGGATGAGGCTCCAGGGAGGGCAAGGGGTGGGCCACTCACCAAACCCAGGAGGCAGCGGAGCTCCTTGAGTGCCCCCACACAGCCTAAGAGGGCGAGGCCCATGGTGAGGATTCCTGAGATGGCCAGGGCCTTGGACCAGATCTGCAGGGATATGAAGGACAAGCCTAGGGAGGTGGGAGGCAGTGATGGTGAGTCCGGGGTGCATGACTCCCAGCCACCCTTGCCCCCACTCACACGGCCACCTAAGTAGGAAGCAGCATCCTGGGTCCTATTTCTGGGCCCCTGGGCCCCCTGTCTCTGGGTCTCTGTGCCCCCTCTCTCTGAATCTCTATCCTCCCCTCTCTGGATCTGTATCCTCCTCTCTCTGGGTCTCTGTCCCCCTGTCTCTGGGTCTCTGTCTCCCTGTCTCTGTGTCTCTGTCCCCCGTCTATGAGTCTCTGTCCCCATCTCTAGGTCTCTGCCCCTCTTTCCCCTTGACTTTCTGTCCATCTCTCTGGCTCTCAGTCCTTCTTTCCTCCTTCTGCTCCTCCTCACCTAATAGTTCCAGTTCCATCACTTTTTCTGTGACATTTGATTGGTCACTTAACCTCCCTGAGACCTAGGAAATAATATCCATTTCCTAGGGTTGTTTTGAGGGACAAATGGGAGAATGTGTTCAATTTATTCCTCAACACGGTAAAAAAAATCCATTGCTGTCAAGTTGATTCTGACTCATAGCAACCCTATAGGACAGAGTAGAACTGCCCCATAGGGTTTCCAAGACTGTAATCTTTACAGAAGCAGACTGCCACATCCTTCTCCTTCACAGTTGCTGGTGGGTTCAAACCACTGACCTTTCAGTTAGCAGCCAGCATTTCACCACTGTGCCACTAGGGCTCCTCAACACAGCATAAATGCTTATTAAGTGTGAGCTATTAGGATTTTCGTTATTACCCTATTATTATTTTCCTACAATTATTACTATTATTTCTGCACTTCTACTTCCTTGCTGCGTGACACCTGGTAAGTGACCTACCTTCTCTGAACCTCAGGAGAGGGGAAGGTTTGTGGGAGGATCTGATGGGCCCGAGCACCAGAACAGACACATAGGAAGTGCTGGAGAAATGACTGCTATTATTATTGCTGTAGTTGTTATGATCGGTATGCGCAACCCCATTTGCCACAGGAAGACACTGAGGTTCAGAGAGGGGCGGCAGCGGTGACCAGAGGAGTGCTTCCTGGGGCCTGCCTAGGGAGTTAGGCAGCATGAAACCCTTCCTGGGGCCACCCCCAGGAGATCACTTGAGGGGAGGACGGGTCCATGGCTGTTCCAGAAAGGCCCTCCCAGACTGCCCCAGCCCCCCCTCACCCACAAAGGACACGAAGCTGGCCTTGTCGATGAGAATCCAGATGCCGAAGCAGAAGATGAGGCTGCCTAAGACCTAGGGAGAGGAGATGAGAACATGGTGGGTGGGCAGGGTTGAGGTGAGGTCCAGGGGGCCACGGAAAGGGCTGGGGCCCAGGCTGGGTAGCCATGATGGAACTCACGAAGAAGAAGAGGTTGAAAACGAAGAGGAAGTACTTGACGAGGCTGAGGCAGCTGTCCTGAGCCGACATCTTCTCCTAGAGGGGGAAGAGACCAACACAAGGGACAGGACAGAAAGGTGTTGGCAATGGAGGGCAGACAGGGTGAAAGACACAGGCCGAGTCTGAAAAAGAGAGAGGGAGAGAGAGAAAGGAAGAACACAGAGAAAGAGGAAGTTCCAGGGTTGGGCCCCACCCCCTCCTTCCTCACATGCGGTGACTCTCTGTCTCTCCCTGTCTGTGTCTTTGTCCCTGGCCCCTCACCTAGTCCACAGCAACACACACACCAGTACCTGCGGGGCCTTTGCATTGGTGGGCACCAAGGACACATGGGGCAGCTCCTCCCAGGTCTCCATGGCTCAGTCTGGGGCACCCGCAGGGACTCCTGGTCTACCTGCACCCGCCTACTCCGGACACTGGTCCCCCAGGGCTGGCCCTGGACAGCAGCCGACCTCACAGACACTCTGACCTCATGGCCTGCTAAGCTTTGCCATCTCTGCTTCCAGCTCTGTTCCCCTACCTGGCCTGGCCTGGGTCCCTGTGCCCCCTTCCCCCACCGTGTCTCTGTCCCCTGTCTGTGCATCTCTGTCCCCCTCTCACTCGGGGTCTCTGTCCCATTCTCTGGGTCTCTGTGCCCCTTTTTCTGATCTCTTCCCCCCCCCAGGTCTCTGTCCCTCTCTCTGGGTCTCTGTCCCCCTCTCTCTCTGGGTCTCCATTCCCCTGTCTCTAGTTCCTGTCCCCCTCTTTCTCTGGGTCTCTGTCCCCCTCTTTCGGATCTTTGTTCCCCTCTCTTTGAGTCTCTGTCCCTCCCCCCTGGGTCTCTGAGCCCCTCTCTCTCTGTGTCTCTGTCCCCCTTTTCCAGGTCTCTGTCGGGGTCCCCGACCCCCCGGGTCTCTATCTTCCTCTCTCTGGGTCTCTGTCCCCTCTTTCTGGGTCTCTGTCCCCCTCTTTTTGGGTCTCTGTCCCCCTCTTTCTGGGTCTCTGTCTGGGTCCTTGACCCCCTGAATCTCTGTCTCCCTCACTCTGGGGCTCTGTCCCCCTCTCTTTGGAGCTCTTGTCCCCCTCTCTCTCTGGGTCCTTGTCCCACCCCCTGGGTCTCTGTCTCCCTCTCTAGGGTACTGCCCCCCACCCTGGGACTCTGTCTCGCTCTTTCTCTGGGTCTCCATCACCACCTGCCCCAGGTCTCGTTCTGCTTCCTCTCTGGCTTTCTGTCTCCCCCTCCCCCATCTTTGCCCCTGTTTCTGAGTCTGAGTGCTGTATCAAGGTGCTCCCACGTGCTAAGGCTGAGCCTGGGCATCTGGGGGAAGTGAAATTGCTGCAGGTGGGAAGTGGGAAGGTCCCTGGGAGTGAGGAGGGTGGCTGGGTGGTAACTGCACACCCAGCGGAAGCTGAGCCCCCAGCAGCACTTCCTGTCTCCGCACTGTGGAGCTACACCCTACTTATCTATAACATTCAGCTCAAGCATCCTCTACTCCAGGAAGGTCTCTCCACCCTCTGCCTCTGAGGGGAGGATGGCCTACAAGATGCTGGGATTAAGCCTGAGACCTTGGCAGTTAGATCTAGGTCTGTGGTGCCTGATTCTTTTTAGGCCAGACCTGCACACCCAACAGCCTCTAAAGTCTCTCCTGATGCCCCCTACAGGCTCCCCATTCTTGTCAAATCTCTAATTCCTCACAGATTTCCAACTTCAGGGATGCTCCTACCATCCAGTCATCTGCTCAGACCTGGGGAAATCCTAGGAGACTGGCCTCTCTTAGAGGCCTAGCTCCCTTCCCTCTTCTGGGAAATCTCATCCACCTTCTAAATCTGTCTTCTGAGCTCTAGCTTTGTGTAGTCAATTGTCCCCTGGATGCTTCCCCCACCCTCACGGGGACCCTCACCATATCCCATACAGAGCTCAGTGTCTCCCCCAAACTCACTCCCCCTCCTGGTTTCATCATGTGGGGCAGCCCCACCATCTAACCAGTCACTGGGCCAGATACCTGGGTGATATCTTGGTCCCCTTTCTCCTCCCCTCTCTCCACCACCTGTCTGTCCCCCCATTGCTGTCTGTCTTGGGCTGAGTTCTCTAGAGAAGCAAAACCAGTAAAGCTGTATATATTAGAGAGAGATTTATATCAAGGAAAAGGCTCACACCATTGTAGAGGCTGGAAAGTCCCAGGTCCGTGGGTCAGGCTGGAGGCTTCTCCTGACTCACATAGCTGCAGGGGCAGGTGAACCCAAGATCAGCAGGTTGGACAGTGGGGCTCTGGCTCACAGGCTTTGGAGACTGATGAATCCCAAGATCGGCAGGCAAAGACTGCAGGTAAGCAGCTAGCTCAAGTCCCAGGAACTGCAGGTCAGAGGAACGGGAGCTGGCTGCGGGATCCAGAGCCAGCAAAAAACCCACAAGCCTCGCCAGAAAGTCCATCTATATTGGATGCAAGCCATACCCCCAAGGAAACTCCCTTTCAACTGACTGGCTACTCAGAGCAGATCCCATTTTGGAGGTGATCACATTATATCAAATCTCATCATGGAAGTGATTACATCATTATACGTCTGCCAAACTACATCATAACTGGCAAACCACTGAGAATCATGGCCCAGCCAAGTTGACACACAACCTCAACCATCACACTGTCGAATCAATTCTGACTCCAGCAACCCTATAGGACAGAGTAGAACTGCCCCAAAGGTTTTCTGAGGCTGTAATCTTTATGGGAGCAGATCACCTGGTCTTTTCTCCCACAGAGTAGCTGGTGTGTTTGAACTGCTGACCTTTTGGTTAGTAGCTGAGCGCTTTAACCATTGCACCACCAGGAGGCAGGATTAGAGGCAGTTATGTTAATGAGGAAGACTCAGTTTGCGGGATTAGATTGTATCTTGAGTCAATCTCTTTTGAGATATAAAAGAGAGAATCCAGCAGAGAAGAGAAGGGACCTCCTACCACCAAGTAAGCAGAGCCTGGAGTGGAGCGCTTCCTTTGGGACCCAGGGTCCCTGTGCTGAGACACTGCTAGACCAGGGGAAGATTGATGACAAGGACTTTCCCTAGAACCGACATATAGAAATACTTCCGCCTGCACCCTGAATTTGGACTTTAAGCCTGCTAAACTACGAGAGAATAAATTTCTCTTTGTTAAAGCCATCTGCTTGTGGTATTTCTGTTATAGCAGCACGAGATAGAACTAAGACAGATACTAACTCACGCTTTGACCTTAGAAAAGAAAACGGACAACTAAATTCTTAAACACCATCCCCTATGCCCCATCCTAGTCCCTCAGCTTCCACTTTTATTAAAAAATTGTTGTAAAAAGATATATAACAACATTTGCCAGGTCAACATTTAGTACAATTTAGTGATATCAGTTACATGAATCATGTTGTGTGACCATCACTCATAATCGTTGCCATATTTCCCATCACCATCGTCAGAAACTCACTGCTTCCTAAAAAATGACCACCCCCTTCCTTCTTACTCCCATCCCTGGTAACCACTAATAAGCTTTGGTCTCTAAACATTGGCCTATTTTTGTTATTTCATATAAGTGAGATTATACAATATTTATCCTTTTGTGGTTGAATGACTTCATTTAGCATAGTATTTTCAAGGTTGTTCCATGTTGCAGCATGTATCAGGACTTCATTTCTGTTTATGGCTGAGTAGTATTCCATTGTATGTATGAACCACATTTTGTTTATCCATTTATCCATTGATGAGCGTTTAGGTTGTTTCCACACTCATTGTGAATAGCGCCTCAGCTTCCACTTCTAAACCATCACAAACTCCTCTGTGTTCTACCACTAAAATACATTTCAAATCCATCCATTTCTCTCCAACTCCAAAGCCACCATCATAATCCAAGCTGCCAGCATTTTCCACAAAAATAATTACAACTGCCTCCTAACTGATATCTCTTTTTCCACCCTCTGATCCCTTCCTCAGAGATGTGTATACAAGTAACTGAATGTCCAAGAGTAGGTGGCAGAGATTTGTTAGATGCTCACCAATCTGGTTTTCTCTTTCCCAGGCACATAGAAAGACTACATTTCCCAGGTGTTATGGATTGAATTCTATCCCCCAAAATATGTGTTGTAAATCCTAACCTATGCCTGTGGTTTTAATCCCATTTGGGAATGGGTTGTCTTTGTTATGTTAATGAGGCAGGATTAGTGTAGGGTATATCTTGAGTCAATCTCTTTTTAAAAAGAGACTAAGGAGCAAAGCAGAGAGATGGGGTAAGATAGATGCCAAGACACATGGAGGAAGCAGAACCAGGAAGCAGAAATTGAAGAGACAAGGACTCTCCTCAAGAGCCAAAAGAGAGAGAAAGACTTCCCCGAGAGCCAGCACCCTGAATTTGGAATTCTAGCCTCCTAAACTGTGAGAAAATAAATTTCTATTTGTTAAAGCCATCCACTTGTGGTATTCCTGTTATAGTAGTACCAGATAACTAAGATACCAGGCTTCCTTTCGGTGAGGTTGAGGCCATATGACTGGTCTTGGACCAATGGAGTGAGTGCAGAAATGATGTAAAGCTGCTTCTGAATTTGGCCATAAAACAGCCTGTATAATCCTCACCCTTTCTCTCGCCTTTAACTCATTGGCTTGGTCCCCCACATCTCATTAGAGGAGAGCCTCTCAGACTTTATGTAAGAACCTATTGCATTAAGCTGCAGAGACTTTAGGGTTATTTGTTACAGCAGCTAGCTTTACTAATCCTGACTATTACAGGTAGAATACTTGTCACTGCATTTTGGATGATTTTTCAGAAGCCAGTACCAAAATTCAGATCAGTGCTTTTTAATTTTCCTTTAGTAGTTTTGAATGTGTAATAGTATCACTTTTTTTTTTTTTAACCTTTTTAAGCTCCCTTCCCCACTCTTTGGTCATGCTGTTATCTTTGCCAGGGACATCCTCTCTACACTGTGAGGCTACATCCTACTTATCTCTAAGATTCAGCTGAAGCACCCTCTTGGTCTCAAGACCACTTGAGGTCTCTCCAGCCTCTTCCCCTTGCCTTCTTCTCCAGACTTGATATTTCCTCTCATAGCTCTCTGTTGTGTCTTTTCATCACATTTAATAGAGAAAGGGTGAGGCTTATTCAGGCCATTTTATGGCCAAATCCAGAAGTGACATCATTTCTGCAACCACTCCATT